CCGCTTCCAGCTTTTTTCTTTTTGCTTATGTGGTGCTGAGGAATCGAACCCAGAACCTCAGGCATGCAAGGCAAGTGTTCTACCACTGAGCTACCTTCCCAGCCCCTCCCACTATTTCTGTGCTTCCCCTTACCCTCCTCCAAACAGATAAACTTACATAGCAGACAGAAAATACAGAAATCAAAAACAGTGACAAAAGGGGAAAAACAAAACAAAGTCACAAAAAGTAAAATAAAAAGCCTCTTGTTTCCATTTCTTGGAGTTCATTTTGATAAGCATCATTTTATATGATCATATGTAAATAGCTGTTGAGCCTCTCCCAAGAATATCCTTCTTTGGTCTCACTGTATGAATGTTTAGAGTCCTGTTTAATTTATCATGGCCAGAAGTAATTTTTTTGTCTTTTATCATACATTGTAGATTTATAGGCAGTCATCATTTTTCTTTAAAAATAGCACTGGCTGCTCATTTTTTTAGCCTATCTGAGAAAAATTCACTACCATGAAGGAAGAAATAACTTCCACTAAGTGACAAAAGGAGGAGCTAAGGACGGGGTATCGTTGGCTTCATTGATGAAGTATGGACAAATGTTGAGGTTAAAAAAGGTGCAAATATGATTTTAGCAGTTTAGTAATCTAAGGCATTTTCACAATCATAATTACAGGTTTTGATTAAGTACCTCTGGTAACTTGCCTAGGGGCTGCAGCAGTATTGAACAAGCCCCTGTCATTCAGCTCGTGAAGAAATGGTTGATAATGTGTCAGAAGGTTTCTGATTGATCTACTTAGCACTGGATACACTTTTACTAAAACACTGGTTCTAGAATCAGAGTCTAACTTGGAAAAAATTGGAAATTACAGTGTAAACTATATATGAAAATAGCTAATATTTCTTAAAATTACTTTGTGTCCAGATATTATTTTAAATGCTTTATAATCATCATAGAATTTGTTCCTCATGGCAGGTTGGAGATAAGTAATTGTAATCTCAATGGTGATTCCTGCCTTCTCCCCCAAAAGAGCGTGGTGAAAGGAGAGTATGTTGGCCTATGTAACCAAACTGCCAAGCAGTTTGGGCCTAGTTAACTTTTTGGAAAACTAGAACTTGGACCTTGAATGATGTCAGGGTTCTCTTTCTTCTTCCTCTCTATATTTAGTTGGTTTCATTGTTACTAAGGAATCTACTCAGCATGAGAGTTCTGCCAGTGGAGGTAAACCACCAATGTTAGATTCATAATCGCTGTTTAGTTGATACATGTTTAACAAGTAACTTCTGTTTTGTTTTGTTTTTTTTGCCCGTCCTGAGGCTTGAATTCAGGGTGTTGATGCTGTCCCTGAGCCTTTTTGCGCTCAAGGCCAGCTCTCTGCCACTTGAACCAAGCACCACTTCTGGCTTTTTTCTGAGTGGTTTATTGGAGATAAAAGACTCACAGATTTTCCTGCCCAGGCTGGCTTCAGTGATCCTCAGATCTCAGTCTCCTGAGTAGCTAGGATTACAGGAGTGAGCCACCAACTCCCACCAACAAATGACTTCTTTTTTCCCTCTATTTATTATTATCTTTAAGTAGTTATACAAAGGAATTTCCATTTAACAAAGCAATGTACAGATACAATATATCTTGATCAGTATCACCTCTTTCAACATTCTCACCCCCCCCTCTCTTACCCACCTCTTCCCTCATTCTTCCTAATTTTGTAGAGTATACATTGGATTCTTGATTGCATTCTCCCCATTTCTCCTCTCATTTTTTCTTTACAGAAGAGGATGGAGATGGGAGAATAGGGACTGCTTGATCTTATTCATTGTTTAGAAACAGTGGAAATGGCCCTTCCTTCTTAGTTACAGTTTAATGAACCCTGGTAAAGGACAGTGGCTATTCCTAAGGCATTTTGAGTTGACAGCCCCCACAAAACATGGGTTTGAAGGAGCTCTACCCAGAATAAGAGGTTCTGTGCTGAGCAAGCTCCACAAGTGTCCACTCTATTCAATTTTATAGATGTAGAAATAAGGAATTAAGAAAGGGTTACCTGGGCTGGGATGTAGCTCAATGTGAAAGCAATTGCCTAGCAAGTGCAGTGTCCTGGGTTCGATCCCCAGTACCAAAAAAAGAAAAGACAGGAAAAAAATACAGTTAAAAAAAAAAACCAAGAGCTGGGAAGGTGGTTCAGCGGTAGAGCACTTGCCTTGCATGCCTGAGGCCCTGGGTTCGAGTGCTAGCCTTGAGCTGAAGAGCTGAGGGACAGTGCCCAGGCCCAGAGTTCAGGCCCCACGAGCGGACCAAAACAAACAAACAAACAAAAAGAAAGGGTTACCCAACTGATCACAGTCTCATATAGGAACTGGCAAACGTCCAGATTCAAGTGTGATTTTAATGGCTCCATGGCTTACTTATGTTCTTTCACTTTATCATCCCATCAGAGACCAGTGAAGTGATGGTTGGAAATGGAGGATAGCAAGGTGATGTTCTTTATTCAGGGAATGCTTGATCACCTCATATTCATCAGTAGGATATTGTTTTTCACAGATGCTGATTTGTTATTTGGTCTTTGAGCCTCTTAATTTCAGAAGGAGAAAAAAAGAGCCAAAGGGGACAATTATTTGTATTTCTGAGTTATTTTAGAAAGACAAATGTGAAGTATATTTTAGATGATTAAATTGCCAAAATAAAAGTTTTTTCTTTGCTCTGTATGATCTTTTTACACTATTTAAAAAACTGCAGAAGAATGAAACTTAATAACTGTCCTCAGGGACCACAGAATATGAATTAGATTAATATGTGTTTGTGAATATGTCTTGAAGAATTGCAGCCATTTTTTGCTTAGTGGTACGAATAATAGTGAGTGGCAATTAAAAAGTAGTTTGTCATGAGTCAGTTCAGTCTTTGAAGAAATGTATACAAACATTAGTATTGCTGCTGCCTTTGACTCATTGGTTAGGAGCGTTACATTTAGCACCTGATGTTAGGTACTGCCGGTGTTGAGCCACACTCCCAGTCCTTTGGCAAGTATTTTAGATATGTGGTTGTTTGAATCGTGGGTGTGGAACCCATAGATATGGAGAGCCAAGTGTCTTTTTTTTTCCCTATACACATACGATAAAGTTTTTAGTTTATAAATTAGTCACAGTAAGAGATTTACAACAATTAATAATAAAAGAAAACAATTGTAGTGCACTATAAGAGAAGTTTGGTGAATGTGGTATCTCTTAAAATATCTTATTGTATACCACACTCACCCTTCTTGTGATGATGTGATATCAGATACAGTACCTGAGTGACGAGATGAAGCAAGGTGATGACTAAGCACCGCAGCTGTAACTTAGTGATGACTAAGTATTGCAGCTGGAACCTCTGCCATATGAGATCTGACAGCAAAACTAGTACACATTTCTTTTTCCTTCTATATACTTTTTGCAAATAGGAGATTTGTTCTTACTATAAGTCTCAACAACCTCAAATGTTATTTTATTTTTCTTTCCTAAGTAAGTCAGGAACTTGCACCATTTCATTTAGAGGATCATTCTGACTTTTCTTTGGTATATTGACAACTTTTGTACTTTGGGGCCATTATTAAGGAAAGTAAAGGTCATGCAATATTGCAGCAGTCAGTCTGATAACTAAGACAGGTACTAGGTGAGTAACTGGTAGGTAACGTATATGAGGTGTATACATTGAACAAAGGGATGATTTATGGTTCCAGGGAGATGGATCCAGTATAGTGCAAGATTTCATCATGCTACCTGTTTAGCACAGAATTTAAAACTTACGAATTCAATTTTTTGGGGAATTTTCCATTTAATATTTTCAGATCTTAGTAGACCATAATGAACTGAAACCATAGAAAGTAGAACTGTGGAACAAGGTTAGAATACTGATTTACAGAAAATGCTATTTAGAAAACAAAATGATCTTTATTTTTATCATTGCTACTATGACATTGTTTATATTTTTATATTTTTGCTTATTCTAAATAGGCATAACTAAGTGGTCACTTATGGTCTCATGGAAACTCAATCTAGAAACATCTAAAATAAAATTTAAGCTGGGTGCCGATGGCTCACGCCTGTAATCCTAGTTACTCAGGAGGCTGAGATCTGAGGATTGTGGTTCAAAGCCAGCCCAGGCAAGAAAAGTTTGTGAGACTCTTATCTTCAATAAACCACTCAGAAAACTGCAAGTGGCACTGTGCCTCAAGTGGTAGAGCGCTAGCCTTAAGCTGAAGAGCTGAGGGATAGCACCCAGGCCCAGAGTTCAAGCCCTATGACTGACAAAAAAATAAAAAAAAGTAATAATTAAAATACATTTTTAATTTTCCAGAGATATGTTGGATTAACTGCGTCTTTTGATATAACGTAGGGGTTTGTTTAAATCTAAAATATATGAAAAAATATTCTACTTTCCACTGAAAATATTCATATTTCTCTATAACTGGCTTTCTTTTTAGAAATCCCTGGGAGAAAAAAAAATAAAAAGAAATAAGGAAATCCCTGGTCATCTGTATACTTATATTATCGTGGGGATATGAATACTGTTGTTTCCCCTAATATCTATTAGACTTGAACCCTCAGATGTGCCAGTATTATACCAATTAACTGTATAATCTATACTTCATGTCTTTATTGAGCTCCCTGAGACCTCTGTGAGCCCCTTTATGGATGGCCACAACAAAGCCTTGCTTATCACCAAGGCAACTAGAGAGCTACCCTGAGGTTTTGGAACATAAGGATTAATTGCAGCTTTTGGCAGCAATTTGCCCCTGTGCTGTTAGGTACATGAATCTACTTGGTACTGGGTCTAGAGCTTACCAACTTTTATGACTGTCAGTTTAATTAGGTTCATGACTTGGGTGCTGGGTTACTTCCCAGAGTGTTCCTCCTTTGTGTCCCCCCTCCCCCATATCCTACTCTATACCCCAGTATTTATTTTTCTTTCCCTGTGGCCAAGTCTTTGCAATGACTAGTTGACAAGAGGATATCTAAATGATATTTCTTTTCCCTCAAAGAGATCATCATTTCAATCTAAGGCCCAAAACCAAACACTTGCTTGGATTGATGGACTATAAATACTAAAAGCAACATGGAAAATGAACCAGACTATGAGAATGTGGAACAGAGCCTTTGTGCCAAGACTGCTGAAGAAGAACTGAATAAGTCTTTCAATCTAGAAGCTTCACTTTCAAAATTCTCTTACATAGATTTGGACAAGGAACTGGAATTCAAAAATGATTTGGTAAGCAGTGAGGGAGATAAAGTATAACAGAGGGGTGGAATATGATCAAATCATATTCTATGTATGTAAGGTAATAACACAATGAAACTCTTCACTTTGTACAATTAATATACATTTTAAGAAGATACAATCCAGTAAAATTTCAGCTTCTGTGAAGTGATGATTTTAACAAAAGTGTTGCTTACAGTGTGCTTTATGATCCAAACACTCTAAGCCTATCATTTTTGCATAGGTTACTAGGAGTCTGTGCAGTTTTATGAGATACTATCACTCTTTATTTGTACAGTCCATTACAGTTTATAGAACACTTTGATTCATGTTGTCATTTGAGCTTCACAGCTGTCACAGCACTGTGATAATCCATTTTATAGATGAAGACACTGTTGTGTGGCTATTAAGTGACTTTTCAAGGTCATAGAGCTAATGGTAGGTTTAGAATTTTTATCTGTCTCCCTCATTGATTGAAATTATTTTAATAGGTTTCTGTGACTATGAGAATATTTAATGATAAGGTTCTTGGCCTAGTCATCTCTTGTCAAAATTTATGAAATAACTAAGAATGTCATAACAGACTTTGGTATATTGCTTATGTCTTATGTCTAAATTTACTAAAGCAGAAGGGTGTCATAAGACATGGTGCTTGTCATGTTGATGCCCTCCTTGGCAGGTACAAAAGACCACCTTTCTAGAAAGGGTTATTGGGGTGTGCAGTCAGTGCATGCATCTCCTTGAGAGTCACTGAATGAATGTATGGACAGGAAAGAATGATTCTGTAGTCTTTTGATCAACCCTTTTTAGCACAGATTACTGAATGGACTATATAATCTGGTGGTAGAGTTGTCCTTTTTCTTTCTTTTTTTTTAGGTGGGGGGCTTGAACTCAGGGCCTGGACACTATCCCTGAATTTTTTCACTGTAGGCTAGCACTCTGCCACTTTGAGCCACTGAGCCACTTCTGGTTTTCTGGTGGTCAGTGGGAGATAAGAATCTCAGACTTTTCTGCCTGGGCTGGCTTCAAACCGTGATCCTCAGATCTTCTGAGTAGCTAGGATTACAGATGTAAGCCACTGGCACCCAGTCTAGAGTTGTCTTTTAATTGACACTTAAACTGTTTCATGATTGTAAGAGGAAAGGCATCATTGTGTGAGAATTAATTTCTTTTTTTTTCTTTTTTTTTTTTTTTTAGATTGATGACAAGGAGTTTGATATTCCTCAAGTTGATACTCCTCCAACTCTGGAAAGCATACTAAATGAGGTAAGTAAATATTCATGATTGCTATCACTTTGCGACATTGATTTTAATACTCTTTGGGTTTTAGAGTATATCTGGATACATACTGTCCAATATGGTAGCCACTAGTTAATAAGTTACTTTCTCAAAGCTCCTGAAAAAGGGACTCAGTAACCACATGTGGGTGGTGTCTAGTATACTGGGCAACACAGACGTACACTATTTCTAGCACTGTTCTAGATTGTGAGCTTCTTAAGGACAGAAACCATGTTTTGATCATCTTTAGAGTCTTTGTGCCTAGCACAATGCCTCATACTTGGCAGATTTTATAAAAAGTCTTTTTTTTTTTAGGACTGAAAGTGTAGTTCAGTGATAGAACATATAGTTAGTATGCATGAAGCCCTTGGTTCAAGCCCCAACACTGAAGAAAAAAAAGCTTGTTTGTGCTTTATTATGTGAAGTTCTAAATTCATGTCTCTTTGGAGATACAATGTTGGTTGTGCTAAGATATTTAAATACTTGATCTTCTGACACTGAGGAACACTGTATGTAATGAGCTTGATCAGTCTGATCTTGAGGGAAACTGAACTTCCAGAATTTATGTCACAAATACCAACTCTATTAAAATTTCCTGCTTTGAACTGGTGTTACTCTTTTCTGAATTGGAAGATTAAAAGGCAGTACATGGGTAGTAAAGTATGCCATGAAACCCTTCAGTTCAGACTTATTTTGTGTGTGCTAGTACTGGGGCTTGAACTCAGTGCCTAGACACTGTCCCTGAGCTTTTTCCACTCAAGGCTGGGGCTCTACCACTTGAACTACAGCTCTACTCCAGCTTTTTGCTGGCTAATTAGAAATAAGAGTCTCACAGACTATCCTGTCTGGGCTGACTTTGAACTGTGATCCTTAGATCTCAGCCTTTTGAATAGCTAGAATTATCTTGGGGTTCATTTTGCCTAACATCAACTTGTCTGACAGTTTCTGTTTGTCTCGAATAGCTAGAATTACAGATGTAAGCCACTGGTGCCCAGCAGCTCAGACTTTTTGACCCCAAAAACTTGCTTAGAATTTTTCTTGGAGGCTTTAGCTTCTAATTTGCAAAAGACTTTAAAAAAATATATTGATCTATTTCAGATCTATAGTTTTGTTCTACAAAAGGTAAGGATGCAAGCATCTCTCAACAGAACTGATATCATAGCTTTGAGTATGTTGGACCTCTGTCTGTGTCACTTTTTTACCTGTATAGTAGGATTGTAGGCAGTATTTCATAGGATGTAAACTACTTGCTCTTTGAACTTTTTCTTTTATGGCTTTGATTTCTGTTTTATATATATATTCCTTTGATGTTGCTGTGTCTTTAAATATATTTTAACTTCAAAAATGTTCTGCATGATTCATGGGGAGACTGGAGCATATCCAGTTTTGACAAAGGCAGTGTTGGGTCTGAAAGAATCCTGTTACAGTGAAATGTCCCTTATTTATTACTTTGTAATATAGAGAAATATCTTCTATTTAGATATGAGGAATTAATTTTAGTCAGTTTTGTTAACATCTTATTCACATTCTCATTTCAATTAATTACCAAGTGTGACAAAGTATAGAAGACTGTGTATAAAACTCCCACTTGTAAATATTTATATAATGTTGGTAAAGAAAATAATACTTATGAATGAGAGTATGGCTTATAATGAAGGCACACTGTTCTTACAAAACTTCCTTATCTCTCTGTAAAGTAAATACTGACATTAGTGGTTTACAGAGAAGATAATCCTGCTATCACCCAAAGTATAACTTGGTGCCTGGTATGTTTGGATCTTGATGCTAGAGTTATAAAATGTTATGTGACGATCTCTGTCCTTGAGAGAGAAATGGGACTGGAAATTGGCCAGCCTTTACACTAAACTCAAGGAGGTAGGTGTGGATAAATGAAAGAAATGAATTTCAATTGTAGAGTATTAAATAATTAAAGAAGTAGGGCTGGGAATGTGGTTTAGTGGTAGAGTACTTGCCTAATATATATGAAGCCCTGGGTTAGATTCCTCAGTACTACATAAACAAAAAAAATCGGAAGTGGCACTGTGGCTCAAGTGGTAGAGCACTAGCCTTGAGCAAAAGAAGCTCAGGGACAGTACCCAGGCCCTGCGTTCAAGCCCCAGGACTGAAAAAATAATAAGAATAGTAATAATTTAAAAAGTAAGTTAAAAACTAAATAAGTAAAAAGGACAGACTAAATAAGTCTTTACTTACTAATATCAACCTGGAGAGCTTGGAAGGAATGGATGATGTCCAAGATACTTAAAAAAATGGAAAGTTAGAGATGACTGATACATCCTGGATCTTGGAACTAGGGTATGAAATAATAATTCTAGGCCTTGTTATTCTTTGAAATTGTGCTACTTCTGAGATTTTTAAGTCTGAATTTCCATTAACTAGTCATAACTGCCTCTCTTATTTTATTACCTTAACTTATTTAATCTCATCAAGACCACCTCTCTTCATCTTTCTTGTATTCCAGTCCCTTAGAGGGGTCTTACTATTGAATTATGCAACCAGAAATAACTTTTGAACCTTTTTTTCCCCCCGGTATTAAAATTTGAACTCAGAGTCTTGTAATTGCTAGATAGGTACTCTGACAATTAAACCACATCTCCAGGCTTTTTTGCCTTAGTTATTTTTCGGATAGGTAGACTGGCCTTGGACAGCAATGCTTACACCTCCACTTCTCCATAGCTTGGATAACAGTTGTATGCTACCATTTCAGTCTTGTTTTTTGTTTTTTTTGATCCGGTCGTGGGGCCTGAACTCTGGGCCTGGGCGCTGTCCCTCAGCTCTTCAGCTCAAGGCTAGCGCTCTACCACTTGAGCAACAGTGCTACTTCTGGCTTTTTTCTTTTTTTTGCTTATGTGGTGCTGAGGAATCAAACCTAGGGCCTCAGGCATGCAAGGCAAGCGCTCTACCACTGAGCCACCTTCCCAGCCCTTCAGTCTTGTTTCTGAGGCAGGGACTTACTACCTTTTACCAGGGTAAAAACCATGAACTGTGATTCTCCTATCTCTACGTTGTTTGTAACTGGAATTACAGGCATTCATGATCATACCCAGCTTGTCTTATTGATGTATAATGGACATACAGAAAGGTACACAAATCATAAATGTATAACATGGCAAATTTTCCCAGACAGAATAGCCTGTGTAACCAGAGTCTAGAGGAAGAAGTAAAATATTACTACCATTCTAGAAGCTCTTCTGGTGTCCCTTTAGTACAAACAACAGGGTAATTATTATCCTAACTCTGTCACCATTGATTTGCCTATTTTAAATGATAAATGTGGAATCATGTACTTTTTTGGGGGGGTGGTCTGGTCGTGGGGCCTGAACTCTGGGCCTGGGCGCTATCCTTCAGCTCTTCAGCTCAAGGCTAGCGCTCTACCACTTGAGCCACAGCACCACTTCTGGTTTTTTTCTTTTTTCTTATGTGGTGCTGAGGAATCGAACCCAGGGCTTCTTGCATGCAAGGCAAGCGCTCTACCACTGAGCCACCTTCCCAGCCCCGGAATCATGTACTTTTATACACATGTATTTACATATAGAATATGTACTTGTATGTCTATTTTCCTCAATGTTATGTTTTTCATATTTTTTGTGTATAATATTTATTTACATTATGAAACAAAATTCTTTATGTATACACTATTATATATTCATTCTACTATTGACAGTCATTTATGTAGTTTTCCAGTTGGTGTCCACTATAAAGAGCACTGCTGAGAATATTTTTACTCACATCTTCTGGTAGATATAAAACCCTCCCTCTGCCCCTTACACACATTCTCTTGGGCATATACCTAATAGTACAAGTGATGTGTGATAGGTGTAATTTCATTCACCTCTCATCAATACTGCCATAGTTCTTCAAAGTGGTTATATTGATAAACACTTTCTGGTTAAGTGTGTACATTATCAGTTTTTTAATTTTTCTGTTTTCCTTTTGTCCTTATGCTTAGTGGTTTCACATCATGGTTTTAATTTGAAATTGCCTTAGGATTGATGAAATTGGATACCATGACATATGTTTCAGTGATTTGGGTATCACTTTTATGAGTAACCTTTTTCTGTCTGTGACCTACTTAATTGTACTGAGGTGTTTTATGTTTGTTTGTTTGGGTTCTTTAAAAAAAATTTGCAGGCTGGGAATGTGGCTTAGTAGTAGAGTGCTTGCCTAGCATGTGTGAAGCCCTGCGTTCGATTCCTCAGTACCACATAACAAAAAAAGCTGGAAGTGATGCTGTGGCTCAAGTGGTAGAGTACTAATCTTGAGCAAAAGAAGCTCAGGGACAGTGCCCTGGCTCTGAGTTCAAGCCCTCGGACTGGCAAAAAAATAAAATTGAAAATAAATTGCTTTTGGCTAGACTTTTCAATTTTTACCTGGGGCTAGCCTCAGACTGTAATCTTCCTATCTGTGGCCTCCCATATAGTTAGGATTATAGGCCTTTACTCCTGACTTGCTTTTTGAGATAGAGCCTTGCTAATTTTTTTGTCTGTGTTAGCCTCAAACCTTGATCTTCCCTTTAGTAGATATATTTATTGATCATCTTTTGTTCTATAAAAGACCTTTTTATTCTACTAATTTTTTTTGATAAGCACAAGTTCTTCATATAGTCTACCTTATTTAACTTACATTATGGCTAATTTTTTGGTGTCTTTTTAAAGAAAATTTGACCAGCTGCAAGGTCATAATGATGTTATCCTATTGGTGCTAAACCTTTTATAGTTCTACCTTGCACATTTAGATCTGTAATCCATCTGGCAGCTTTTGTATATATTAATGTGAGATATGATCTAACACACTGTTTGATGAAAAGGGTATTTGTGGTTATGGCTTTACCTTTGTGATAGATCAGGTGATCAGATATGTATGGGTCTGATCCTATTGATCTGTTAAGTGTAACAGACCCAAACATTTCCTGCCTCCTATGTAAAAATACAGAATGAAAAGACTCCTCAACATCACTTTCTATTGATTGAACCTTTTTAGTGAGGTTTGTTGGTAGTTTCTAATCTTCTGGTTCTCTTCTTGTCTTTATGATTGCTTTTCTTATTCTTAGTGTTTTGCATTTCCATACACATTTTTAGAAAACAATATATACAGATGCACATACACACGTAAGTTAGCTAAAATTTGATTAAATGATGTAGATTTTATACATCAGCTTAGAAAATTGTTGTCTCCACTCCGTGGCAGCACTTTAAAATTCAGTCTTGACATGCTCAGTCTTACATTTCCCCAAATTTCTTTTTCACTTCTGTAAACCTTGCTTCACTCAGCTGATTGATTTTCCTTAATTATGTCCCCAGGCTGCTTAAGAAAATCAAATAAAATTTTGATTGAGTCTCTTAAGACCTTGGTGCTGGAGTTCTTGTTTCTGAAGTTTTCTTCTCTTTTTCCTACAGCAGTTGTTTAAATCTTATAACTCTGAAGTAACATAATGTCTCCTTGTCAGTTGCTAATGTTGTTTTAGCAGACATGTGTATGAAGTTATCTGGAAAGCAGTTGTAAATACAGACCTAAACTCCAAGAGAAATGTTGATGTATTTCATCAGGGTCATTACCCATGGTACTTAAAGCATAGGTTTGGATGAGCTTGCTGAAACAGGAAGTAGGTAAGTGGTAAGACAGCTAAGAATATAAATTGTAGGGAATAACACTGAGTACATGGCAGAGAAGGAGCTCAAGAACATGACTGATAAGGGTGCCCATAATCTGTAAGAGAACAGGGAAAAGGGACAGTTGGAAACCAAAGGGAGAGAAAATTTCAAGAAGTAGGGGGATGGTCAGCAGGGTTAAATGCTGGCTGGAAGACATGCGCATGCTCACTAAAACAAGACCATAGGCTAGTAAGTTCAGCGACATTAGTAGTCAGTAGCTTGGGAAGAGTAGACCAAGGGTGGGATAATGAGCGTGGATTACTTTCTCAAGAATATTGTTTGAAAATGTAATGTGTTTGTCCAGCTGTAAAAGAAAGTAATTTTGGTAACTTACAATCAACTTTTTTTTTTTTTTTTTGGGTCCGGTCGTGGGGCCTGAACTCTGGGCCTGGGCGCTATCCCTCAGCTCTTCAGCTCAAGGCTAGCACTCTACCACTTGAGCCACAACGCCACTTCCGGCTTTTTGCTTTTTGCTTATGTGGTGCTGAGGAATCAAATCCAGGGCCTCAGGCATGCAAAGCAAGCACTCTACCACTGAGCCACCTTCCCAGCCCTACAATCAACTTCTATGAAGCCTTCTTATTGTGCTTTATCTGTTGTTGATAGGTTTTGTGATCTCTTTTTGTCTACTTACTCGTGCTGGAAACCTTGGAATTGTCTTTGACAATCTTCCTTCCTCATTTACCAAGGGATTTTGATTTTATCTCAGTAATATTTCTTTTGATTTCTTGATTTCTGCTATATTCCTCAACTGGGATCTCCTTTTCTTCCTGCCTTAGTCTCCCTCTGCCTCTCTGTCCTTCATATAGTCCATTTATCTCTTTAAAACATGGTTCCCATCATGCCTGTCCACTTCTTAAAAATCTAAGTTGCCTTTCACTGTGTACTACATATACTGTATTGATTCATTAAATAAGCAAGTACTGGTTTTGTGTCATGCTTTGAACTAGGCACTGTGGGTACCTGTTGCCACCTAGCTTGGTAGAATAAAAGATGTTTTAGAATTTGGATTTCAGTTTATGTTTCTTGATCATCTCAAGCTTCTATTCATATACTCCCTTCATGTTCAGTCACTTCAATGTCCATGGGCAGGATTCATATTATGAAATCAATACATATGTATGCAGTATTTCTTACCCAGAATACCTTTCTTATATCTGCTTGTCATAGTTCTTATAGTACTGTATTCGGTGGTATTTATTGTCTTCTAATTGGACACTGTCTGTTTGTTAACCAGTGAAGTATCTTTAAGAATTATTCTGCAGCTAACAGTAATCTGCATAACAGTTCCTGTTTGTTGCTATAAGACAGAAGTTTTTGACATAAACTGTAAATACAGTGATAGCTGTGTAGTTGAAGTTTCATTTTGGCAGTTCTCTACTGTGCCTCTTTAGTTAATAAGAATGCATGGAATAGGGGTATAAAGCAGAAGCAGGAGTTTAATAAAGTATTATTTTTGGGAAAACCACTAAGGCCTATCTGAGTAGCTAGGATTATAGGAATGAGCCACCTTGTCTCAGACTATTTGTAATTTTGAGTTTATTGTTCTGTCTTCTTTCAATTTAGACTGATGATGAAGAAGAATCTTTTGTTCTTGAGGATCCTACACTGCTAAACATTGATACTATTGATTCTCACTCCTATGATACTTCATCTGTGGCAAGTTCAGATAGCGGTGACAGGACCAATTTAAAAAGGTAAATATTCATGCGTGGTATATGGCCAAAATATTTGATCGTTAAAAATGTCAATATTCCTTTATAGTACTATGATCTATTGAAGCTCTTCATGAAAGTAGAAGGCCCACTTGTTTGAAAATAATAGCTTAGTAGATCTAAAGATTTAGGCAGTGTTGAGGGAGAAGATAAAAAGATGGTTAGTATGACCACTGTCTTCTGTGCCCTACACACCCCTTAGACTCCCATTCTCTAAGGTCAGCTTCAGTGTTCCTTCATCCCTTGGCGTAGGTTCAGAAGAGAATCTCAAAGATGATGAACAATTTGGAAATAGCTTCAATTTTGGCTGCTTTTCACTTTCTAAATTCTTGGAGAGAACATGACAAGGAAAGAGAAGTGGGGGGAGAATAATACAAATACTTCTTTCAATTTACTTGTAACTTTGCTGTGGATAGTGTTTCCTGTGGGTTTTGTTGTTGTTGTTTTGTTTTTTATGTTGAACAGCCTGGAAGTTGTCCCTTAGCTATTTGCTCAAGAATGTGCTTAAGCCACACCTCCACTTCAGTTTCTTTGTGTATTTTTCCTTCTCCTCTTAAGGTATGCCCATATCTAAGGATCATTGCTGGATGGTCACCTGCTCACCACTGTATCTGGCTATTATATAAATGTTTTAGATGATCTAGATACTGCCTGCTTAGAAGTGTGGTATTCTCCTGTTACCTCTATAATAAACTCACACATTCATTGTCACTTGGATCATTTAAAGCTCATCTCTCACACTCTCACTCCAGCCCAATCTGAGCCTCCTTGCCTTCATTGTTCCCTGATACACAGGCACCATAGCATCTTTATATTTCTTTCATGTACTTGCCCAACAGACTCAAGGTCATCCATCAAGGCCAAATCACACATTTTCTCCTTTCTAATAGCCCAAATAGAAATCTGTTCTTATTTGCATATTTTGCTACTTTGCTTATTTCTACTGTAACATTATCCTTCAGCAGTTACTCATTAGTCCTTCCGGCTAGGCTGTGAGATCCTTGAGAGTAGAAACTGTGACTTCATTATTTGTTTCCCTAAAGTACACTTTTTTTTTTTTTTGGTGCCAGTCCTGGGATTTGAACTCAGGGCTTAAGTGTTGCCCCGGAAGCTCTTTTTTGCTCAAGGCTAGAATGTTGCCACTTCAGCCACAGTTCTACTTTCAGCTTTTTGATAGTTGATTGGAATCTCATGGACTTTCCTGCCTGGGCTAGTTTTGAACCTCCATCCTCAGATCTTAGCCTCCTGAGTAGTTAGTATTATAGGAATGAGCCACCTGTGCCAGGCTAGCAGTATACTTTTAATTATACAGATTAGGCATTTAATGTTTGTTGAAAGTTTCAAACTTAATTTTTTGAGGCTTGTAAAGTGGCTCACACCTAGCTACTTGAGAAGCTGAGATTAGGATAATTGCAGTTTGAGGCTGGGCCAGGCAGAAAAGTAAATGAGACCCCCATCTCAACCAACATAAAAAGTGTGGTAATGTGTGCCTGTTATCCCACCTGTGAAAGAAGAGTAAATAGGAGGATTTATGTTCCAAGTCAGCCTGAGACTGTTTTAAAAAAAAGGGTGGGGAGGGGGTGGGGACATGGGGAGAAAGCATAAAGAGCGGGAGGTATGGCTTAAATGGAGAATATTTCCCTAGCAAATGCAAGGCCCTGAGTTTAAACCATAATACCACAAATATAAGTAAGCAAATAAATATTACTTGTTGAATGATGAATACTGTTAATGAAAGGAGCCATTAATAGCAGCAATAGAGAGTATTGAGTGATATATTGAGAAGGTAGTTAGTTGAAGAGTAGGAAGGGTGGTCATAGAAGATAAAAAGGCAACTGGGGGAAATTCAGTTAGGGCATGAGGAGTGTTCGTAGGCAGTAGGACCTATTGCTATGGTACTTACTATGAGCAAGGAGCCACGTGAATCAGTAAAAAAATGGTACTTCCATTCATTTCCCTACTTGTACTTCTGTGAGGCTCAGCGTGGGCTTAGAACACATCTTACTGTAGGACTGCTAAAGTCTTTATACTTCTTTTTAAAACAGAGCTAACAAATTACAAACAGTGCTATTTCTGCCTTTCTTCCTTCAAAGCATTGGAACCTTGCCTTTTGAACATTTTTCATCTGTTCTTAAATGGTTTTTTTTTTTTTTAGGAAGAAAAAATTACCTGATTCTTTTTCACTCCATGGATCAGTTATGCGACATTCACTTCTAAAGGGAGTTTCTGCCCAGATAGTGTCTGCAGCTGTGAGTATTTTGTTCTCCCCAGCTTTATAACCTACAATGGCGTAATGAAGTAGGAATGAGCATAAAACAAAGCACAGCTCTTCTCTTGGCCTGAGGCTTAAGAAAAATAAAATCTGGCTTTCATGGTTTTTATGTGATTATTTTTGACTCATAAGACATGGCTACACATCTTGACATAGAAATTAGTGCAGCCATGAAAATAAAGGTCTGCTCAGAGTTTTGGGTGTGCCTCAATGAAATATGGCAGCAAGCCTAGAAGAAAAACTATCTGCCTTTTCTTTACATTCCTTTTCAGGTTAGCTGCCATCTTGGGTGTATGATCGAAGTAAAGTGCTTGGTTTTACAAGAGAGAAATGATGGATCAGATTTTTTTTTTTTTACAACCAAATGGTTTGGAAAATAATCCACAAGTCATTCCATGTGCCTTATTTCATTAACTCTTACAATGTTAAAGTAGATAAAGGCATTTTACAAATTATAAAGCTGTTTTACAAATTAGAAGGTAGGCTCAGAGAAGTGACATTAGCTTTTGTTTGGCGGTCACAGAGCAATTACTTAGATTTGGGGTTCTAGCTCCATGTCTAATACCTCTTCGTTGTGAAAGTGGTATTGGTGAATGCAGCCATTATATGATGACAGGAACATACTATCTGTGGCCTTTTTAAATATAGAGTCCTTGGTTAATGTAAATAAGTATTTCATAGTTTATCAAGACAATAGACACTGATCACACTTTTCCTTTGACTAAAGTCTATACTTTTACTAAGTCTTGGAATTCTAGTATTCTGAATTCAGTGTGTAGATCCTGCATATAATAATATTGTCAGATCTGTTAGGAACTTTGATGTGGTTTCATGTTCTTTCCATAGAGTTTAATCGGCATTTTGCATATTCAATTTGGACAAGAAGTAGAGGTTTTGATTTTTTTTCAAGAGAGCAGGAAGTAGACACAGAAATCACCAGGATATCAAAATCATGTTGTAGTTTTCAGGGTTATCACAGAAAGATCTTATTGCAGATTTTTGAAAAAGAAATAAAGAATAGGTTTGCACTGGGCAGCTAGCTAGTATATCCTGATCCACCTTGTATACACAATGTCAATTTAAATAGAAAGATGGTCAAGCAATGGAAGAAAGCTGGGCAATTGTCCTTCCTGTAGGTGGAGAGTAACTCATATATGCCAGAATGGGAACCACCTGTTGAGGATTACATTTCCATGACGTTTTCTGAATTTAATCCTTATGTAGGTGATGAAATTCATTCCTTTCAAAATCAAGATGAACCAGTACAGTCATTTGACCCACCTGTGCAGTTTTAAAAATATTTTGAATAATGGAGACTGAACTAAAACTCAGACGCTGTCCAGTGATTAGATAAATCTGTTTTTTAGAAAGGTTTCTCCTCCCTCTTGAAAAGGAGGGGAAAATTGTAATAAATCCCAGAGTGTTTGCATTCTGTTCTTATTTCCTTGCTATGGCTGAGCTCCTTTGGTATGTTCAAATGAAAACTGCTTTTGCTGTGACAGTCATCATGTGGTGCCTTCCTAATTTTGGATTACCAGCTCAATTTAAGTTGCATGCTTTTCTGTGATGGTTGGTTTATTAACATGTAAAGCTGGTTGTATTTTTGGATATTTTTCCTGAATATCAGGCCTTCAGCCTTGTGGGCATTGATGGTATCAGGGCTGCTTAGGGCCTTGATCATCGGCTCCGGAGCCCATGCATGTAAAACACTTAGGAGAGATGAAATTTTTGGAGTGGTGAACCCCATTGCATAATTTTGGGATCTTTCTCAAAGTAAGATGACATGTGGCTACATTTAAAATTAATTTAAATTAACGTTTTAAGGCTCTTTATCATTTTAAGGATCAGCCTTAAGATACTACAGATGCAGTAGTGCTGTGCCTTTGTTTCAATTTGCTTTTGAATGTGTTCAGCCCAGAAGAATCTCCTGGGGGTACTTATTAAAAATACAGATTTCTGGGGACCACCCCAGACCTCCTAAATAGGAATCTTGCAGTATAAAGAGGGGATCTGCATTTGAATAGGCATCCCTGGTGCTTGTGTTGAAGTCTGGGTTTAGACTACCATTACCCTAAGATGTTACAGCACTGGTATTAAAATTCCATATTTTCTAAAATGCTTCCCACATCTGTGTGTTCTTAGCTTTTGAAGTCAGGTGACTTTTAGTTTTATTATTCAAGTTCCAGTTTGAATATAGTTTATGTTTTTCATCAGTTGTCTCATTCCTTTTTCCCTCTCCAGAACACAAATCATGAATCAATATTTGTATGATTCTTAATTGTCTAGCATTATTAGGCATGCTATACCTGAACATATATACATGAAACTGGATATATGTTGCTCTCCAAAACCTTTCTTACATTTCCATGCACTTGAATAAGTTTCCTAAGTTTATGAGAAGCTCTATAAAATTAGGTAAATGGATTCTGCCTTTGAGAGATAACAGTAAGGAGTTACCCACACTGACAGGGACAGACAAAGCAAATATAAAGTGATCTAAATAGCCTGACCTGGGAGCCCTGAGTTTGAAACAGTCTAATCACTTCTAAGTAGCTTTGGGCAAGTCTACCAAACTGAAACTTGTTTTCTTGATCTGGAAAACCAGAATAATACTGCCGGCCTGTTCTTTCTTTCCAAGTTTGAAAAGCTCTCTGCTTCTATAATGGTGCATCACTGTGAGCTGCCATTATTATGTAACGCTATTTAAGGGTTGAGAGGTGTAAAAAAAAGCATCAGGTAGATACTTTTACACTTCGTCACTTTTTATTCTTGTTTTGACCCCCAGGACAAGTTATTGGGCTACATAAAGGAATGTTTGCTATCTATGTGAACACATGGGGAGATTAATAAAAGAGCACTTATGAGACTTTGAATTTGTAAGGAGCTGAACTAACAATCTTCACTGTTTTAGGCTGAAGAATGATTCAGTATCTCCTTCTGGGGCTTGATTTAGGGTTAGCAGACAATCTGCTGGACAGGAAGCTCCTATCGAAGTAGGATGTCTTCAGCCCATGTTTCTCTCTTGAATTTCCATGAACTCCTACAATTTTGGCCCAGTAGTATAATGGTGTGTTTACATTATGGAAAAAACAGACCTCTTTCTTCTCTTTTTCCTTTAAATTTCCATTTATAATCAATATTCTTCCTAAATCATCTGCTACAGTTAGTAAAATAAAATGATCCACTCTTGGGCTCTTTGTTGTGAATATATGCAGTTTTTGCAAGGCAAAAACGAAAGTTCCACTTCTTGTCTGAATTGATTAGATCAAAGTGTATGTAAAAAGAGACCCTTATGCCATATTCTACTTTCAAATAATATCTTTTCAAATACTTCTTTTTTGAATTTTATTTAGGACAAAGTAGATGCTGGCTTGCCTACAGCAATTGTAAGTATACTTTTAATCTTTTGAAAGTAAGCCCTTTGTCTGATTGGGTTTTCTTAGATTTATTTTTACAGTGTTCAAAGTGGTTACATCTGCTATTATGATAATGAGTTCATAAGTCATTTTAGCCTTAGTAGTTAGGTTTAAAATTTGTCCATGAAAGATGTTTTCTTTTTTTCTAATGTATGTTACTCTTTAGGTTTTTATTTGAGAAGCAAATAATAGAGTAATGATTAGCCATTTCTCGCTTTGTTCGTATGTAGTGTCACCTTGATAGAGTAAATTTGCTCCTCCTGTGATCAGTCTCCCTTCTGTCATAGAGAATGGAAAAACATTTGATGAAATCACTTTGAGATTAGTAATATAGATTTAACAGCCCTGGACTCCATTGCCAAACCTGCTGCATAGTAAATCTGTATACTAAACCTGTGCAGACCTGGGGGTTGGAGAATATTGAAAGTACACTAATGCTTCTTTTTTCTCATCTTTCTCCAGCTGCCCCATTAGTCTTTGGTGAGGAAAGTGAGCTTGTAACATTTCTGGGGCCTTTTGACCCCTTGGATAAACAAGGGAAAAGCACTCTCATGCCTTTCATATACCTACTAGTAGGCTCTTGATTGGGCTGAATAATTGTCTTTTGTCTGGACACTGGTGTTTTTTAAAAAGTACATTTTATTTTTATTTTTTGGTGGTACTTTTATTTGAACTCAGAGGCAGTTGATCTAATGCTGAGCTATACCTCCAGCCCTTTGCTGTTCTTCCTTTTTTTTTTTTTATTGTTAAGGTCATGTTTTCTGCCAGGCACACACCTGGACTGCAGTTCTCTCATTCTTTATTTTATTTATTTATTTATTTAGGGTCCGGTCGTGGGGCCTGAACTCTGGGCCTGGGCACTGTCCCTCAGCTCTTCAGCTCAAGGCTCGCGCTCTACCACTTGAGCCACAGCACCACTTCCGGCTTTTTTCTTTTTTGCTTATGTGGTGCTGAGGAATCGAACCCAGGGCCTCATGCATGCA